ATTGTTTCTGAAAGTTTGCTCAACACTAGCCATCTTAGATCCCGCAATAATTAGCACAATATAGAAATGAGGTCGACGCATAAAAAAAAATCATATGGTACATCCTATAACAGCAAATAATTTAGGTATAAATAATCCCCCAAAAATGCTCTCCATCAAAGGTATGAACGTCATCACAAAAGTATCTTAACAAACGAATACAGCAAACGAGTGAAGTTATATATACCTGTAAAAATGCAGAGACTGAAAAGGCAAGAGAATCATAAGAACACAGGCGTTGGTGGGCAATTAAAGGAGAAATAACATTACAAAATAGAGGAACTCTTTGGGGACTGGGTATTGTTTGATCAAGATTCACCATGATTGCTCTTAACTTAGTCCAACTGAAAAGTGAAGCGTGACAAAGAATCTATATCATACGAAACTTATCCACTCAACGAGTCAACTCGATAAGCCTATGACCAACATAAGTTTAGTGCAGTATAAAAAGTCCGTGCAACAGGGTGGTGTGCCTATTCCAACACGGGTTTCGCTATTATTGCGTTCTATTTTTGAGGGAATGATCGAAATTAAGACATGTGGCGAGTGTTTTTCTTCTTTTTCTTTTTAACTCTTTTCTTGAGTTTCAAATATAAGTGAACTTTGACATATGTATCATCAGTATTGCTTAGCACCAACTTATGTGGCAATGATTCAATGACTCGTATACAAATGTTAAATAGCATTGCATTGAAAAAGTTAACCATTTCTAAAGATCCACGACTACCTACCCTAATTGAAAGTTCGAAAATTCACATAATAAAAAAATAATAGTAATAAAAATGAATAGAGACTAAAGTGATGTGCTCGATAAAGTTTGAAGATCCCAAAACGAAATTCTCCATCGTCGAATTATAGGAAATTTTTGATTGGATTTTTAGCAATTCATAGTTGATAGTGATGATCATAGGCTACACATGGTATAGAGCTCCTTTATTCATCGTTCGATTCACTAAAAAGTAACACAATTTTCAAGTGATTATTTACCACATAAATCGGTGATTATCACGTATAGCATTACTCCTATTTTATATAAAACCTTTTACTTTTTAATATTTTTTATAGAGATAAATTATTATTTTTAAATAAAAAGTTACGCGTCCTCATAATTAAGTAAAAGATAATTTCAAAAATAATAAGTAAATTAGTCCACAGAAGTGATTATCTAACAGTATGCAACCGGTAAATGGTGAATACCTCGATGCAATGGCAAGAAATTCAGCATAAAATGAGGAAATAGCAAGCACTAAACGCGTTCAATTCATTATTTTATTATTATTTTTAATCGAGACAAATAGACGCAAAAATCCTCAAAGTTCATAGACAACCCATTCAAACAAAGAAAACGCCCATCCCCTGAAGACTGCTAAACAATTATGTCCAAGACTAGAACTTCAATAACTAGTGAAAATTGGCTTAAATCTATAACTAAGTCGCACCGACTACCGACTAAAAAGATCGAAATGATTGTCAACTCGTCTGAGAGATATACTAAGGATGCAGTCAGTTGACAACAGGAGCCACTACTATTCTCCTCCGAGAGTAACTCTAGCAGGGGACAACAGTTGAGAATACCCATAAACAGCAAGTGTCTTGAGTAAGAAATGGGTCTAAAGAGTATAATCTGCCTTTTCAGATCACAGATCACCTGGTTCTTTGATTTGTAATGTTGTTTTTGACAGGCTAGCTTCCAGTTCATTTAGCTCATCCATATCGAGATCGTCGTCATCTTCATCAGCAACATCTTCGATATCACGTGTATTTGTTGTGGAAGAACTTGGCCCGTCCATGGAGGAACCTTTATCATCCTGAAATTGATGATACAGAAGTCAGCAAATACTACTGAAATGGCTCCAAGCAATAACTGAATAGCAGGGCTAGTTATAGAGCTAAGACTACGTAAGAAAAACATCAACTTTGCTCAATCACGAGCCATAAAAATGAACCAACAATTTGAACATGAAAAATGTAAAAATTGCTTAAATAGTCCCAAAAGGATGGAAACACGCTGAAACAGGATAAATCTTTTTGTTTTCTGGATTCAGTCATGATACAGAATGTGACCTCCATAGAAGAAAAAAAGAAAAAGGAGTAAACCGACACCATAAATTAGATGTAATTGGCCATAACATGGTTTCTTCAACTCTACCTGTGAAAGAAAGTTTTGAAGATGGATTTTACCAAGTCTTCAGACACTCAAATTTCGGGTGGAACAAAAAGTTCTACGTAAAACCAAATGTCAGTTAAGAGCCTTCCAAGGAAGAAATAACAGAAATGAATTTATCGGGCACCATATGAATGATAATTCTGACCATGTGTTTCACCACTAGTAAGATTTAGAGAATGAAACGCCAACATAGTTCCAAGTCTATTTGGAGCATTGAACTAATTCTAATTTTAGAACAAGATCCAAATGTAAGAATAGTGCAAGACTGCAAGCCGGTAATGATCTTTCATCAAAGAGACAACTCTCTCCAGGTTTTCTAACTCTGTGCATGCTTTTTTGCCTCATGGAAACAAAGGAATTAACCACGACATAATCCAAGGCAGTATGCATCAGCATTTCACTGAAATATACTTGCTGCTTTGGTGCTTCAGTCAATCATGCACGAACCACAGAATTAGATTTTTTATTACCAAACTTTAGTAACTATTTCATGATCAGCAGTAGGATTGAAGTTTTTTTTCCTTAGTCTCATAGCTGTTTTCAAGAGAATACAACTAAGAGCATCATGAAACTCAGAGGAAATTTGTTGTGAACTATTAGATTGGATTCTCTTGGAGACAAATACGAGACTAAGGGGAAAAAAGTTCTCCGTGTTACTTATCGTGGACTGGAGAACAGAAGTTTGATAATAGAAACATCTAATTCTATGGGTGAAGCATCATGAACTGAAGTGCTAAATCATGCTGTAAATTTCAGCAAAATGATGATGCATATTACATGTACTCTATCTTGGCTGATGCCTTAGTTTACATTGGGCAAAGAAGCACGTATGAAGTTGGAAAACCTGCAAAGAGTTCTCTCCACAATGAAAGAGAATTGGATCTGAATGTTGCCCCCTTCAAAAATAAATGCTTAGAATGCCATCAACAATTAAACAATATTCATCGAACTTTGGGAATTACTATCAACATTATTTTCAATGTCAAATGCCACGCCATCCAGTACATGAACCTGCCCCTCCCCAATAGAA